ATTTTTAAATATTGATTTATTTTTAAAAAATAATCTACTAACCTCTTAATAAAGTAGGTTACATCATTTGCCACTTTTTATCAGAGTTGATTTGATCAGTAAACATACTGATTATTTATTAATAGAAGTATTTAAAATTTAATTTTTTATCACGCTAATTTAGTTAATAAACAGTTTTCTATTTAAGTACAGTAAACCCTCTAGAAGTGTACGCCTTTAGTAATATGTATTTAGAGAATCAAAAAAAATGCATGGATTGAAATTTAAGTGTGCATTTAAAGAATATATGCATTTAGGGTACTCTTATAGAGGTTTTACTGTGTATTAATTATTTATTAATTGAAGAATTTGAAATAATTTTAAAGTTTTTATGTGTTATCGCATATCAGACATGAAAGTATTAATATTAATGTAAAGATATATTTAGGGTACCATATGCATTCCATTGACTCTTGTAGTAATATATTATTCTAACATAACATGATTATTGTATTTAACAACATTTACCATCACAGCAGTCGCTTCCCTGAATGTGATAATATGACGAATATGTGGTTAATAATGTTCAAAGCATTAATTATAAAATAAAGCATAATAAGTATATACATATTTACCTTGGAGCAGCATTCTTCATCACAACAGACAGGAATGTCCTTTGTAAATAAAAAGATATCAAATAGTTAGAAATTTCTAGCAATATTATCATTAATAATCAATAATATTATTATATAAAAAGATTAGATTTATTACAGGGGGACAACATCCTTTACCCGAACAACAGCCACCGCCCTAAATATGACAAATTATATGACACAAAATTAGTAGAATAATCATAATCACGTAACATAATGTAGGATAAATAGAGAATACTACTAGAACACAACATGTATTTGAACATAGAAATATTTCATAAAGTCATAAATTATAATAAGTATATACATATTTACCTCAGGGCAGCACCATTCTGAACCTGGACAACAGACGGGAGTGTCCTTTAGAAATAAAAAGATAACAAATAGTTAGAAATTTCTGACAATATTATCATCAATAATGAATAATATTATTATAATAAATATCATATTTATTACTTCGGGACAACATCCTCCATCCGAACAACAGAGATTACCCTAAATATGTGAAAATTTATGACACAAAAATTAGTAAAATAATCGCAATTACGTAACATAATAGTTAGAAATTTCGGACAATATTATCATTAATAATTAATAATATTACTATAGGAAAATTTATTACCGGAGAACAACATCCTCCATTCGAACAACAGGTATCATCCTAAATATGTCAATTTTATGACACAAAAATTAGTAAAATAATCGCAATTATGTAACATAATAGAAATTTCTGACAAAATTATCATTAATAATTAATAATATTATTATAGGAAGATATTAGATTTATTACCGGATAACAACATGATTTATGACAACAGACCATACCCTAATTATGACAAATTTTATGGCACAAATTTAGTAGAATAATCACAACCACGTAACATAATGTAAGATTAATAAAGAATATTATTAGAACACAACATGTATTCGAACATAAAATAATTCATAAAATAATAAAGCATAATAAGTATATACATATTTACCTGAGGGCAACACCAATCTGTACAACAGATGGGATTCTCCTTTATAAATAAAAAGAGAACAAATATTTAGACTTTTCTGACAATATTATCATTAATAATTAATATTATTATAGAAAAATATTAGATTTATTACCTTAGGACAACATGAATCTGAACAACAGGTATCATCCTAAATATGACAAATTTTATGACAATTACGTAATATAATAGTTAGAAGTTTCTGATAATATTATTAAATTATTATCGAAAATTTTAGATTTATTACCTGAGGACAACATTCATTCGGACAACACAAATTTTATGACATAAAATTAGTAGAATAATCACAATTACGTAATACAATGTAGGATAAATAGAAATATTACTTGTTGACAACACAAATCGCCACAAATCATAGGATCCTCCTACTCATATAAAATATTGTTAATAGTCAATGATATTAGAATTTAGATGTGCAAGATGATGTAAATTACCGGAGGACAGCTAAAAATAAAAAAATTTGTTAACTATATATTAGAATAACACTCCCAAGGAGATAAGAATTTGAGAAGCATACAGATTAATTCGTTCTTGCAAAATATTATTGTATCCTTGTTGAAGTTTGGTTGCTGGAGAAGGACCATTAAAAATAATTTTGCGTCCCGGTTGCAGCTTGGCTACTGGAAAAAGACCATTCGAAATAATTTTGTGTCCTGGTTGCAGTTTGGCTGCTGGAAAATGACCATTTCTATGAGTAAAAATGCTTTCAGAAATACCAAGTAAGAATAATACGATCATTAATGTTAACAATATGATGTTAATTGGCTTCATTGCTTAATAAGAAGAAAATAAACTCTATTTTAAGATACTTTTTTGTAAATTGAATTTGGAATTTTTTCAAAATTATTATTTCTTAAAATGGTTCTATTTATATTTTTGTGTTGTTAACAAGAAATATTGTAATCTACAAAGAATATTTAAATACAAGATTGTCGGTTTATATAGATTCATCATCGTGTACTACATAAACTAAGGCGAGACCAACTTGATTTGGTGGTTTACATTACATCCATTTTTCTAAAGAGGGAATGGAACGTATACATAGTAAATTTTATTAAAAAATTTTTTTCAATCGGCCTGACCTTGCTCGTCTTTTATGTAACAGGATCGACCGTTCAAATTCGTAGATGATTCCAATATGGTTACACGATTGATAAATAATTTTTTTTAAAGATTTTATAATACTTCTTTTAAAAGCTCGGGTAGCTTAAATTTTCTATGAAATGAGAATAAATTTAACGGATGAATTGATATTTTTGGTTCGCCTTATAACATATTTCTTGAATCCCCATGAATCCCACAACTTTTTTTACAATCTGATTGGCCGATTTGCTAAAATTCAAGATACGATTGGTTGACAATTAAGTGTAATCTTATTGAAATCATCTACGAATTTGAACGGTCGCTCCTGTTCTTTTATGTTCGTTCATTTTCTCTTTGGAATTTTTCGGATCCTTACAATTTCTAAATTCCGCCCTGCATTAGCTCTCCGGCTAAAATCATATATGTATATTCCAAAATTTTTTTTTACTAAGAGAGGGGGGGTCAAAAGAGGGGGGTAATGTAAACCACCAAATCAAATTGGTCTGTCCTAACAAATTATTTAGCATGCAATTCGTAATCTGCTATGCTAATACTGCCTTATTTCTGTACTACAGTCAGGGATTTTCAAATTCGTGTAACGCCAATCATTTCTCTTTTCGATAAAAGATCTTCAATTGGAAAGTTCTTTTTTAATTCTATGGCACGATATGTTATTATTGGGTACCATATAGGATAACTTTCTCGTGATTGGTCGATCACACAAATTGAATATCATGCCATGATTGGTCACTTTGCAGAT